ATTTGAGCCGTTTATTTTGAAAGTGGCATAAGTCACTTTGTTTTTAAGTCGATATATTTAAGGGTTTGAGTTTCAACACGTTTAAAAATATGGATGCTAACTTTCGAGAAGATTTACTTGTATTTGTTATCTCAGGATACTGATATTTTTCTCGGTATAAATAATTTCGTATACACATTAAAAAGCCATCACTTTTCATTACGGTAAAGTGACTTATGCCACTTTCAAAATAAACGGCTCATTTGTCAGTGATCTTTGTCGTCTACGTTACATTTTCAGGAAAGTACAGTGGAACCTTGATGATTATTCGGCTTGAGCAAAGTGACACGAGTGTTCGAATAATAGAACAGTCGCTTGCAATTGGTTACAGCATCAGATTTCATCATTATCGATTTATCATAGTAAACGTATTCGAACAACGGAGAATTCTGGTATTGTGATCAGATAATCGAAATACAGTAAATTCTCCCTAATTGACCCTCAGCTTGTACACAAGAATGGACAATTTAGGGAGAGTAGAGATACGATTATTCGAGCCACACGGCTCGTTTTTATAATTGTTGACAATCGGTTACTATAAAAATAAGCCGCAAGGCTCGAATAATCGTATCTCCTTTTCTCTAAATTGTCCATTTTTCTGTACAAGCTGAGCGTCAATTAGAGAGAATTTCTTTTCTTTTTTCTTTATCGTCGTTAGGCTCTACTTTGAAAATATTTCGTTGAAGTAAATAAGCGTAGAAATCGCCTGTTTGCTCGATTTACAATGCAAAGAATGTTGGAAAGGCAGAGGCGCGCGTATGGTTCTAGATAACGTAGAAATTGTCCGTAGACTACTAAAATTGCTATTACAGTCTGTTTTTTTGAAAAAATGCAGTTGAGATACGCTGGTAGTCATAATAACCGTCCACTTAACTTCTACTATCAAACTTGCGACACACGAATGGAGCGGATAACTATTATGGCTATGAGCGTATTTCAAGGGTCTTCTTTCGCGGAACAACCCGTAGCAGTGTAATATTCGTCTTTCTACTCTGCCTCGAATGAAACAAATATCTCGTCGAAGTGAATGGGATCAAGATTATTCCACGCAATCTAAAGCGTCGAAAATTTTCGAAACGCATAGACGTATCAGTGCGGAAATCGTACTATTAATGGCTATTAACGTTCTATTAATGACAAAAATATCGAGCAACGCAAAAATGTACGTCTTTATATTTACATATATATAGTTGCTATACAAATAAGAATTATTTTTAACAGATACTTACTAACAAAATGAATTATCGCTAATAAATCTGTAGAAATTTGCCTCGATATTATAAATATAAAAACAGCAATATGTTGTTACTAATTACAACATCAACAATTTAATAAACAAATTTCTAAACCCGCTGAGAGCAGAAATTATTTCTTTTCTATTTATAATATTAAAAATATGAGCGATCGAAACTTGTAGTGTTATAAATAAAATAGATGTCGTTCTACATCTATTTTTTACAGTAAAAAAGTGTATAATAAATAAAGAAAACGGAAGTGTATATTTATAAGGTCAATGAAAATTGCTCGACCAGCTTCTTTTGCGACAACAAAATTATAATAAGTAAAAGGCAATTGTAAGCATATTTTTATGAATAACGTGGAAACCATTTTTCCTCCATTTTATATAGTGAACTGAAGCGTAGTATTATAGTAGTAGTATAGTAACTGAGAGCATATTTTTATGAAGGAATCGTTTCTCAAAAATTTGTATACACTGACAGAATAATAATGGGTATAGAATTCGAGGAATATCGACACGAATACTAGATCATTTTTAATAAATAAGAAGATCGAAGGAATACTTTTCTAAAGTGATCTTTCAGCTAAAACAAACGAGAGTTGCCTAGTACTTATTTTATACAGGCCTTTAATAGAATAATAAAAACTTCTGTTACGATGGAGTCACTGTAATTAAATATAGTAATTGTCAATTGCGAATCAAGTTAGACAGTAAAGAAGAGGCTACATTTCCTACGAGAAAGAATGACGCACGTAGAGAAGTTACGAAAAGTAATTTATTAAAATATCGCTTAAAAGCTTTACCGAATAATATCCTTTAGATCACGACTATTCTTTGCATTACTGGAAATTTCAGAAAAAAAAACATCGCCGAAACGTTTCAATTATGCGCACACTTTACATTCAATTAGCCAAATATGCTCGGGTCCGTGCACAATCTCGCGTACGAATAAAAATAAACGTAATTTTAATTAAGTTGCTTCAGCGATTCATTTTTCAGCCGGCGATTGCGTGACGTTGAAAGGCTTCGAATAAAAGCTTTAGGAACGTTACAGGGCAATGAAACTAACTGTAAAAAGTACTTCGAAACTTGACCACAAAATATCGGAATTTTATTCGCGTAGTTACGTCCGGAAATTAAGTTGCACACAATAGACCGCCTGTAAAAGTTAAATTCACAAGAATGTTTTGTATGAATTTTTTTCACGAAATGAAGGGTTATCGAACATAATAACAACGAGTGGATCAACAGTGAGTAGAAATAATTTATTACGGAGCATGTATACATGTATATAAATATGTATATTGATATATAGATATATTTTCAGCTTTAGATCCTACACGTTTTCGCGTACCAATTTTTACTCTGCAAACAGTTCTCGTTTACACAATGCGGGCAACGTGTTAGGAACTTAGGGCTTATCGACCGCTTCGATTTCAGGTGAGAATGAACGATATCCGTTAAAGCGTCTATAAAGATAGGATGATCATTGGGAGCGGCGGCTCTTCTTATTCTCTCAATACCAAGCTGCAAATAAACAAATTAAAGGATTCCAGTTGGCGATGTTACGCATAATTAAGCAAGACAATTGCTTACTTCCTCCGCTAATTCTTTGCAGTACTCGATGTCCATTTCGTGAAGAGTTTCGATGTGTTCGTTAACAAAAGCTACCGGGACTAATATAAAATGCTTCTTCCCTTGTTTCACGTACGCTTTTAGAGCGTCGTCGGTGAAAGGGGCTAGCCAAGGCAAAGGACCTACCTAAATATACATTACTTATGAAATTCAATTCATTAAATTATAAGCAACGACACTTAACAGCTAAGCATTAATCTTCGAACTTCTAATCTCTGGTCTTCCAATATTTAGTCTGCCAATTGTTCATCATGCAATTTTTAATCTACTAATCTTCGATCTTCTAATTTTCAGTCTTCCAATTTTTAATCCTCTAATTTTTAATCTTCAAATTTTTCTTTCGTACTATTAATTACTATTCAATTCTTCATATTCTCTTTTGCAATCTCAATCGATATAAATTGTTCGCGACGATTAAACATTCGCTAAATTTGTTAACAGTTCAAATTATTGAGCGTTTAAATGGAATCCTGTTTTTAATGATACGTTAAATCGAAAGTTTTCTTGAACATTTATTTTTTAACAAGATCGAGAACTAAATGACACAGCATGCGTGTTACGGTGAGTTTCTATGGATTCTAGATCCTATAAATTGTTAGTCACAAAGACACAAAATCAAAACAATGTACCTTCGACTGCCAGACTAAATGGTAGGGGTTACAATAATTTAGTTCTTGCATAACTAAAGCAACAGTAGCTCCAATCTCGGATGGGTAAGTGTCTCCTCTATTAACAGCCTAAACATAAAGACTTAGAAAATTTTCTCTTGAAAAAGATTTCATTATCTATTCTCGATACTATGATCTAGTAACCTTCAGCGGAAGCGAATGTGCTGAGAACAAAATGATAACGTTGTCCCTTATTTCCTTAGGGAATTGAACTAACTGCTCCTTAATCCTTTCGGCAATTGTCTTTATGAAGAGCGGGTTTGTAGCCCATCTATCTACTACGCTCAATTTCATATTCGGAGGTAGCTGCCTGTAAATTAGAAATTCCTAAACACAGAATCGTATTTTGACTCGCACGAAGATTTTTTGTACATGAGAAATATCTAAGAAGAACTGCTGTGATTTAGGGTATAATTTTAAATAATAAGAACAGCTACCTTTTCTTATAATATTTATATATCGCATTAAAACTGGATCCAGTCGTAGCACAACTGTACTGTGGATACTGAGAAAATATTACTGTATGCTCAAGACCATCTCTGAAAAGGAAGCATTCGCACAGTATAAAAAATAAAAATATTGATTTGTTGTTTGCAGCAATTGTGTTTATGTTCGATGTAATTCAATTATAGCATTATTCAAGAGTCTTGAATATCCTTACTTTTCTATTTCTTGCAGTGTATTTTCGGTAAGAGGATCTGCATATCGAAAAGCAACATAATGCTTGTGAGGTGCAGTCTCTGGCGAGACATTGTCTAATTGTTTACACAAAAGTTCACCCTGCATATTTGTCCATTTCAAAATAGGAGACCCGCCACCAATTTCATTATACTTTTTTTGTATTTCGGTGGTACGACGTTTTGCTATCCAAGGGCCCAATCGACTGCAATGTACATCACATATAATCTTAGATATAATACATACGCTATAGCCTTCTCTGTGTTCGAATTAACTAGCAAATATTGGTCCACACGAATCAACCTTTGAACTGGAAGTTGAATCATATCAGCATCGGTCATTATGCGCAATAAATATTCGTGTACTTTTTCGGCGCTCGTGGGCCCGCCCATATTCAACATTAAAATTCCTGTCTTTGGTTTAACGTTATGCATTTCTTTAGGTTTCGCCGCTAAGGACATGTAACGCCATGGTAAAACAAAACCTTTCCCGCTTTGCTTTCCTAAGTGACAAAGAATAAAAAATGTTTCAAGTATACGAAAGAGAATTACTAAATAAAAAACAAAAAAACGATACCTAACGAAAATAACAAAAAAAACATATTGCAGACACAGCATCGCGTAACATAAATTTCGAGTACTTAATTTTTTCGCGGGCTGAGAAACGTTCTATAACTATTTCCTTGAGTGTCACACAGTGTTGTCATATAAGTGTACAAATGCGAATACAATACAATAAATATTATCTTTACTTACCGAACTGGAGTAACGTTGACAAATTACTTGCCATGTTCAACAAAATAACACTTCGAGGTACTGCGCAACACCAAACGTACAACTATGAATGCGAAAATTGCGCTTTGTGCACTATCACGATAGTGACAAGCTGAAAGTACTGTTACTTACAGGTTAGGTTCGATTAGAAGGTTATGGTTATGTTTGCTCCGTAAACGAAGCACCGCACAACGTGATTACGCGCGACAAGAGATTAACAATCTTTTGAAAAATATTGTACCTGGTATCGGTGTTTTGCTAATCAGACTATAAATATAAACAAGTTCTAATTCTTTCGACAGATAAGATTATCGAACACTCTGCGCACAGGATTAAATTATAAATTATGACAGACCGCACTATCGAGGAATTGGGTCCGTCGGATTTGGGTACTCTTGATTAGTGAGTTATTACATACCGTGTTTATAAATATGATACTCTCTATTAGCATTACTTTATAAGTCACTTCTCGTGTCTTACAGTTGGGAAAGAGTTTACGCGAGAGAACTCGACAATTTCAAGGACCACGGGGACGTGGGCGAGATATGGTTCGGCAGAAATAATTCACAGAAAGTTATACGGTGAGTAGTTACTCAAATAATACACGATGAATACCATAAAACATATATTCTGCACAAAAGGTAAGTTCTGTCATCATAAGCATTTAAGAGGTCCCGATTCCCGACTCGTTGCGCTATCTTTCGTAAGCCGCAAATACTTCGGGCAATACCTACCGCTGATTCTACAATATTCTTGTAAAAATCAAAAATTAACAATTGAAATGCAATCTGAGTTTAAATTTATAGCAAACCTGATTTCAATTTCTGATCAACGAACATTCATATCGATTAACTGACAAACTGAATATTCTATTGGTATCCATAGGGATCTAAAAAGAGGCTACAGAATTTTATGGTAATCCTTACTGTACTAGACAGATACTTCATTAAAAATAATATATATATAATTAATAATATCCTAATGGTACAGTAAAATACATGTTTGTGCATTTTATTGCACCAGACACAATATCACGCTTATTAGTTCATACTAACTCCTTTTTGTACCAACAGAAACATTGCATTCTTTTAACAAAAGGTATATAAAAAAATGTAGCTGCTTCCTTATTGCTGCAAACCGTTCGATTGAAATGTTTTTAATCAACTTTTGTACACCAAGACCGCAGATTCTGTGCAATTTGTGGGAAAAATAAATCGATAAAATTTGGAGCAGGATAATTGAAAGAATGAAAAGATTGTAACGTATCATTTACAATTTATTAAAATTGAGGGAAGAGAGACAGAAATTTTTATTCGCTCCTACGCCTTGCAGCGCTGTTTTTTAATTGACAAAATAAAATGGTTGCGCATGTCATGAGGTAACGTGAAATTTAAAAAATGTCCGAGAAAATTAGTACAGGTGCGACGCTGTTCCTAAACATTATTAAAACATGTTTAAATGTTTATAACGTTATGAGGAAGGAGTTTTCGGAAGGAAGTATACAGAATCGCTCTTTTCGTGCGAGACGTTCGCGTAGTCCTTACCGTTCAAGCAGGCATTAAAATCAATAAGAATCATCTATTCGTTACAAAACCACGAGATTGTTATCACCAATGATATTTATTTATATTTATTATATTATTTATATTATTATTTATATTATATTATATATTATTATTATTTATATTATATAATATAATATATATAATTATATATATAATTTATATTATTTATAATATAAATAATAATAATAATAATAATAATTTTTGATGAGGAATTTCATGATGATAAATATAATATAAATAATAATAATATTATATGAATAATATAATAAATATAAATAAATATCATAATAATATATTATTATTATTTATATTATATTTATTATCATGAAATTCCTCGTGAAATTCCCCATCAAAAATTCCTGCATACACATTCTAATTATACAGAATAATCATTTAAAAAATGTTTCAGTTGGATAGCTACCAAATTGAAGCTTGACAAGGAGAACGACGCAATAATCGATATAGGATGTGGAAATGGAATGGCGTTAGTGGATCTTGCAAATAGAGGTTTCGAAAAATTAACGGGCATAGATTATTCGCAGAAAGCAATCGATTTGGCTGACAAGGTGCTGAAAACGAATAATTTGTCGCACATCCGGCTGAAAGTTTGTGACATATTGGACTCGGAATTATGCGACTTACCAACCGATTTTAAACTGGCGCACGATAAAGGAACTTACGATGCGATAAGCTTGCACCCAGAAGATCCTGCCACGAAAAGGAAACTGTACATAGAAGCTGTTAAAAAGATTCTATCACCAGACGGACTTCTAGTTTTAACATCTTGTAACTGGACCAAAGAGGAATTGGAGGTTCATTTTCAAGACAGTAAGTCGTTTACTGGCTATTTAGAACGTATTTGTATCAAATTAGTTTTATAATCATTATCGGAAAAGCTGAGAAGCTAATTCGGCTCGAATTAAAATTGAAGAAGATGACTTTTTTGACTTCTCTGGCAAAAATAGTGTTGAACTGTAATTTTAAATGGCGTTTCCTGACCTTTTTGCTAAAAACAAAAATGATGTTGAACGTTGTAACAGTAATTTGAATTTTTAATTATTCATAAAATTCACCGTGGGGAGAAAGATTCTACGTGAAAAAGTAACTGAAAAAGGGTAGAACGAGTTCATCCAGAAATGAAAAATTCGTCGAGCACGCGTACACAGTGATTTATGCAGGAAGTAGAAACGGCAAATCATGATCAAACACGCTCCAAACTCGTTTCCCTTGAAAACTGAGGTCCGAAGATAAAATGTTGCTTTATATTTTCGCCTCACTTTCACGTAACATCCTGTCGTCCCGAATTTTTCCATGTCCACTGGAATACTCTGTATATCTGTATTTTACTTTCAAACTATTCGCTAATATTATTTATTATATATATTATATATATTATATATATTATATTTATTATTTATATATTATATTATATATATTATACTTATTATTTATATATTATATATATATATATATATATATTATATATATATTATATTATATATTATATATATATATATATATTATATATATATATTATATTATATATTATTTATATATTATATTTATATTATATATATTATATATACTATTACTTAAGCAGTACATACAAAATGAAATATACAGTTTCTACTGCCTACGATCAAATTTTTATTCGAACTGAGATAATTAAATACGATAAATAAATTGTACAATATTTCAGATTTCACCATTGTGGATGTTCTTCCATCGGACACGTTCTCTTTCGGAGGACAAAAGGGAAACACTGTAACGCAATTAATTCTACGAAAGAATAAATAAAAGAATTTACAAACACAAACAAAGTTTTCTATGTACCCTTGTTGTACGATTAATAGACTGTGGAGACTGTGCGATTATGAGAAATTAATTTCTGATATTCTTAACAAAAGAGATCCATCATCTAACAGAATTGTTCTAACACAATTTGTTTTCTTCCAAAGTCCGATTTTGCATAAAAATCTACAGTAAGTAATTAATCTAATAATTAAATCTAGTAATTAATGCGACGAAGCTGCCGGGAAATGATCGGCAACTTCTGTTGACATACATTTAAGTTGCCACAGTCGTCTATACGAATGAAATTCTTAGACAGCCGAAATACGTTTATTTGTGCTGAAATCAATCGTGCTGATAATATATTTTTTTTATAGTAAAAGTAAGTAATGCATATTACTATTGTACTATCGCTAAGTTACAAACGTTATAAAATACGTCATAGCTAAAGTAAGCGCTGACATAAGTTTCTGTGTTGATATACATATATATCGTATTAGTGTAAATTACTCTTACTTAATTGTTTATGTATCTGATTGTATACGGTCACATTGATAAGTAGGGTATATTGTTGGCATATAAAATGATTTATGTGTGCTTTGTTGCTCAAAAGCGTCGAATCACCAAATTTGTTTAATCGATAAAAGTCAACGGATTAATCGATGTACAAAACAAGTGTCCACCGAATTAATTGTAGACACATTGATCGGCTATTATAATTTGTTGAATTTTAACGTAAATATCACGGATCGTATTAACATTAAATCAGCAATAATATTCGTCACACGATGCAACACAAATGATTCGAAACCTTTGGCCGTCTATACGTATTAATCTAATATGTAGTTACATTTGATTGGTTGCGCTACTTACACTGTGCGATTTGTTGCTTCGTACATTCGCCGAGAAAAGTTTAGAAACGTAGTCATTTTTAATAATAATATATCATATCTCTACTTTCAATTATTTCTTTTCGTTCGGAATTTGTAAAATTTCATTTGGAATAATTTTCTATCTGTGCAATGGAAAAGAAAGGATACTATATTACGTTATTCCTGCTGAATTACTTTGTCTCCAAACTATCGTCGCCGAGTGCATTAATTAAGAATAAAGATTTTTAAAAAATCCCCATTATGCTTATACAGATATATATCTTCAGTCAGAGTTTAATCGTTTATTTTTATTCGTCGTGTTAATAGTGTTCTACTATTTCTTCTCTTATTCAGATAGCTATATAGAATAAAATGTTTTATTTACTTTATAACAAATGAAACTTTCACGGTATTGTACATATTACAATTTTCACACGTATATAATCATTCGATCTTAAGAATATTTTATCACTTCTATGAATCGTGACAATTCAAATTAATATGATGTTTGCGTAGATCAACTGTAAAAATGTGTGTTGGAAACGATATATTTATATAGCTTAACAAATGCATCGTCTAAAAGACCACGAAAATATCTCGAAGGGAAGCTAAAATAATTTACCGTTTTCATATTATTTTCTTTAGTAACGATATGTCTTTTCTTTCATTTTTCTAAAATGTATAAAAAATTAGGATAATTTAGGACTTTTTGCTATTTGATTCAAACGTAATCTGCTTCGCATTTAATATTATTAAATTATGCTTACGTGTTCTTGATTAGTTATAGAGTGGAAATTCAACGGTGTTACGAGGAGAACGTAAGTGCCATAAAATGATAGTACAGTTTTTCTTCTCTACCCCTAATGTTGAAGTCTTCGGTATATAATCTCCTTTAGCGTGTAAAATATCCTCAACACTCGAAACCATTCGCGGCCGTAAAATGTTAATACATCGCATCCTTACGTTACACTGTAATGGAGGGTTTCGGTATACTACAGGGTGTCCCAAAAATATCTCGCAATCCGAAAGTAGGGGATTCCTGAGGCGATTTGAAGCAACTTTTTCCGTAGCGAAAATGCGATCCGCGGCTTCGTTTACGAGTTATTAACGAAAAACAGTGACCAATCAGAAGCGAGATCATTTGGCGCGAGACGGCCGAGCCAATGAGCGGAACTGGGCTCCGCGTGCCAGCCGAGCTCGTCTCTTATTGGTCGGTGTTTTTCGTTGATAACTCGTAAACGAAGCCTCGGAGAAAATTTTCGCAAAGGGAAAAGTTGCTTCGAATGACCTCAGGAACCTCCCATTTCCGGATTGCGAGACATTTTCGGGACACCCTGTATAGTCTTAATTCTTAACTGCCTGAAATATTTGCACAAAGCGTGGACTTTGATATGTATGTACCATTATATCCAGCTGTTACTATTATCCGTATAATTATTAATTGGTAATTAATAGATTTTCTGAAAAAGAAACTCGAATATTCAAATACAGTTCATATTGTAGACCCGATAGAAGCATAAACTTTCAAGACAGTTAAGAATGAAATCGCACACATATTACCAAGGAATGAGCATTCGTGCGTTCCGTTTTCAAACAAGGCATCCAAAAATACAGTTTTACAATTTAATTGTATGAATTAAGATTACTTACAACGACATATCGTCGGACGTACGTAATAATTTCAGTTATAAATAAATATATTGTTTCTAGATATATATATATATATATGTACGTATATATAACCTTTGAATATAATATTACGATGACTCTCAATGAATAAGCATTGTATACTATTATTATTATTATTATTATTATTACAGCTACATGACGTATGTCGAATTTAAAAATTAAGAGATTTTTTTATATCGTGTAGGATTGTAGTTTCGAGGAATTCATATATTTGACGATTCCAAGTAGTCCGTTTAAATGACAGTTGCTTTCAGTAGACTTAGAAAAGCTAGGAAAATCGACGTGTGAAACACGAGGATGGATGAACAACCTGCGGAAAAAGATACACAATTTTATGCAATTTTTTTTACATTCATTTAATATTTATTTCGATGTTTCTATTATTTATGCAACTTTTTAATATATTTATTCGGAAGCGAAACATAAACATCGAAGATTCTTCTTCGAACGAACACAACGTACCGTTACACACCAGGTGACTCTCTTCGTAGTAGCCATCTTGACAGTAACATCGTTTCCCTGACATCGAGTTGTTCGGTTGCACGCAGTGCGCTCCTTCGAAGCAATCGGTGTCCTCGTTACACGGTGCGCGCAATGCTGCAAGAAAAATCAAAATTTAATTTCGAACATTTCCAAAATTGTCATTGATTTCGCTAGAAAGAGAAATCCTTCTTGTTCATTTCACTTGAATCTCGCGCCTTTATCGGGCGAACACTTATCGAACAGTGATTAGATTAGATAAATTTTATGCATGTATAACAAAATTATGTACAGTAAATTCTCCGTTAATTTTCCTTCAGCTTGTAAACAAAAATTGAGAATTTGGGAAGAGGAGACCTCGTTTTTAGGACAACCCAAGGCCAGGCCAAGGTCAAGCCAAGGCCAAGCCTAAGCCAAGGCCAAGCCAAGGACAAGCCAAGGCCAAGGCCAGGCCAAGGTCAAGCCAGGGTCAGGCCAGGGTCAGGCCAAGGCCAAGCCTAAGCCAAGCCTAAGTCAAGCCTAAGCCAAAGCCAAGCCAAGGCCAGGCCAAGGTTAAGCCAGGGTCAGGCCAAGGTCAGGCCAAGGTAAAGCCAAGGCCAAGCCTAAGCCAAGCCTAAGTCAAGCCTAAGCCAAAGCCAAGCCAAGGCCAAGGCAAGGTTATGTCAAGGTTATATACATACAGGGTGTCCCAAAAGTGACTCGCAATACGGAAATGGGGGGTTCCTGAAGTCATTCGAAGCAATTTTCTCCTTTGCGAAAATGCAACCCGCAGCTTTCTTTACGAGTTATTAACGAAAAACGGTGACCAATGAGAGAGAGGCGGACTTGGCTTTTGTGAGGCAGCCCAGTTCTACTGATTGGCTCGGTCGTCTCCCGCTAGCTGATATCGCCTCTCATTGGTCACTGTTTTTCGTGAATAACTCGTAAACAAAGCCGCGGATTGCATTCGCGCTAAGGAAAAAGTTACTTCAAATGACTTCAAGGATCTCCCATTTCCGGATTGCGAGACATTTTTGGGACACCCTGTACAGGTCACAGTATTAATCTATTAATCTTTCAGCGATTTAATTATGTTGATCCTTAGATTTGGATAAATGATTATTAAATAGCGATCGTTTTTGTAAATTTTCTGAATCATTTCAGGTCATAAACAGGCATGCTCGAAAATGGTACTACTTTCGTTATAAAAAACATCGCGTGATTCTTCAGAACGGATTCTCGACTGTATTTTGTATTTGTATCTATATACCGTGTAAGCAGCTATTTACATATCCGAGTGTCGGCGGGGGGCATCTCGTGTAAACTTCGTTACCTGTCCTTTGGCCTGACAAATTGGTCAACAACTTGCCCAAACGATGTCGAGATATAATCGCTAATGGAGGAGGTTGGTCCGATTATCGAGCAAATACCTAATGGGTTCTCATTTGCTCGAGAAATTTGATTAATGTATGCCAGTTTTTAAGGAGCTATCGCGTTCAAGCGAACGCTAATGTTTCATTGTGTCTCCCAACAAGATTTGGAGAACTTTTAGATACGAATCCAATGATTGGGATAACAGATAGACGCAAAGAAACCGTAGTTTTCTTTCGACTAATGCGACAATGAATTCGTTTCAGCGTCATGCGGCAGTCGCAATTAAAAATGAAAGAGTTCGCGTCAGAAATGAATTCGCGTTGCAAACTCTTATCGTTGTACCGTGGATTTTTACGCAAAAATAAAAATTGTCTGCGTTAATTGCAAGAAATAAAGAAAAAAACAAAAAGTTCAGTATTCTCAAAATAATTTTAACAGATAAAAGATAATACAATTTACATTTTTAAATTCTGTCAATCTTTCTACCGTTTCAAATTACTCAATTTCGCCATAAATGCATAAACTCTTACATACTTTCATGACTTCAAACGTAGAATTTATGTTTATAACATTAAATGCATAAAATCTGCGATTCAC